TGCGCAAATACGTAAAATGAATGAACAAGCATATCGTAGCATCGTAGCAATCACTTCAAGCAATAATGAATGTGCACATATTCAAACGTATGCAAAGCATAAAATGCCTTCCTGGGTCTATCGGTCGCTGGGTCGTCGTACAATGATTAGGGCTACATACATATAGTTGACTGTAATAATTTTTTCCAATAAATTAAACGGACACGTATACGGACAAATATATATATATATATATATATATACATATATCAGTAGACCTTTCTGCTTACATCTCTTTACTATGGATGTTATTTTTATGCACTAAGGTACACTCTCACATACAAATATATGAATAACACAGTCATGCATACACGCGACCATCGACATCCCTCCTCATTCATTTAACGTTGACGTTGATAACTTTTTATGCTTACTATCGCACGATCAGGGCATATTCGGTTTCTCAGAAATGTTTGTAATATTGTATTATAAAAGTGTTAATCGGTAACAAGTTATCGATCGATCTAGGCATATTCATATGTGTGCGCTGGCGCATCAGTGACCGTTTGCCTAATCGGCTACGGTAAGCATAGTCATTGTCAGCGTCAATCATAGTCGCAGTTATTTAGACAAAAGATACGCTTATTATAGAATCTAAACTGTAAACACTTTTCTTTTCCAAAGCGCAAAAAAAATTTCATTTTTTCTTTAACTCATCATTGACTACAACAGACACAACGATAGGAACCCGTTCGAAATTTTCTTTTTCTTCAGTTTCGTGTTTGAATAAGGATTTAAATAAAGCTGACGGGTATAGAAAATTCGATGTTAGCTGAATTTAATTTTTTTTTTTATTTCTTTTTGCTTATTATAATGCTGTATATAATATAAGCGACATCAATTGTGCATAAGTATATAGCTACGTATGCAGGTGTAAAACATATGTACGTACACTTATCCTCTAACTGGTAACTTATTATTATTAATTTTTTGCTCTTCTTTTTCAATAGAACGAACGTTTAATAAAATTTTTGTTTTTCTTGTTGAAGTTTATGATTATGGGTCTTATAGCTTGTTTGGCTTCCGTTGTCTGTCGGTTCGGTTTTGTCTCACTGCTATAGTTGAAAAATTAATGATGGGGCTGCGAGTCAACATAATGATAATGACCACCTTGTAATAGGATAGTTACTCTTATCATGCTTTAGGGTATATGATGTATAAATTTACACAAATGTTTCGTATATAACGGATGTATTACTTTGCAGAATTCTAATAATATTTTCTTTAATTTTCATCGCAAACATTTCTATTAAATATGTACCGTCAAGCAATTGCACAAAATATGTTTCCATGAAGATTTGAAAAAGCGTCAGTTAAAACGCATTTAAATGCACACTTATTCACGGCTAAGTTTGCCAACATAAAAGGATTGATCTTTCCCCTTAAGAACAAATTCAATCGGCGTGATGATCTCAATCATTTTAATGAGTAGTATATCACTTGCGTAAGCAAGCATTTGTCTAAATGAATTAAAAAGATGATCGACTAGGGGACCAACCAAACCGAATTATTTCTTTACTGAATACATATATATATATATATATATATATATATATCTATATATGTTTGTTTTTTTTGCTGTGCGCCTTGTCAATTTCAAAAAAGGGACGTCTCTATTCACATGCTTGTGGAGCGTTAAACAAGCTAGAAGATATTCCCGCTTAATATAATGCTGATGGCATTAGTTGCAGTTTAAAATAATTAACGGCGCAATATTTTGTAAACTGTAATGTCTAGTGTACGATAAAAAGCCGTAAATGCATTTCTCTTATTACGGTTTATTATCGACGTCCTCGTAGCAAACTGTAAGAATTGCTTTTTTATTTTATGACAGTTTGCTATTTTTTGTAAAACACGTGCACGACGTAAATCCAAACACGAATCCTCCCCTTTTTTGATTTAATTTCTATATACATCTTTTATTTCTATATACATCAACGCTCTACGATGGCTTCAAAAACACCGAAATCACCAAATACCCTTGAAAGAAGTTCTTTGCTTGTTGTAAGAACTTTTGCCTGTCTGTGCTGCTAAATCGTCTTTCCAATTTTGAGTCTGTCTCTTTGTCCATTTGCAATTCTATTCATCATTTTTTTTCGCCCTACTTCCGTATTTTCCTTCCCGTCTTAGCTCACCTATTTGCCTGTCTTTTCATTTGCATCCTAGTAGTTCTGCTAGTCCACGTCTTTGTCTGGCATTTTGTCCGTTTGTCATTTTATCACCTTTTCACCAATATGTTACGGCGAGTGTGTTCATCCGTAATTTCGTTCATTCTCTTTCCATATTTTCCTTCACATCTTAGTTCATCTGTTTATTCTGACCTCAGTTTACCTATTCGTCCCGTTGTTAATCGATCTATTCATCCTATTATTCATCTGATTGTCCGCATGTTTGTTACATTTGTGTTTCCGCTTCTTATTCGTTTGCCTCTTTGTATCGCACATATGTTCGTACATACGTTTATTACATTGTCCAGAGTTTGTCCTGCATTCGGATATGGTCACTAGCAGAAATTGCATACCATATACGGGACTTTTTCTATACATGCTTCTCGTAAAGCTCTCGGTCATTTTGTTCCGGTTACAAGAAAGTCCGCCGCAAGTTTGCCCAAGTCAAAGACCATCTTATAACAGACAATAAGCTTAAACATGCTTTCGCTGAACATACAGTGCGTTGACATGGTCAGATCCCGTACAATTAATAAATTCAATCGATTACTAAAACTTCCAGAATTCAAGATCAATTTTCGTTGCTTGGCGAAGGCTTGCTAGTAAATCTAGACTAAAGCACTTTAAATTGCTTTATCGCTGGCGAAATAAAGATTTTTTTAATAAATTGGGAAATGTTTCGGGCGATTGCATGGTAAACGTGAACGTGAAACGTCCAAAGGAAGTAAAGCACATCGTCGAGCTTATACGAAATCTTTATACCGATTACTGTTGCTATTAGTTATACGATATCTTTGACTTTATTATAAATTGAATTGTTTCGTTATCATTTTTATAATATTCATTACTTTAACGCTTTAACGCGATTACAATAAAAGAGAAAATGCGTAAGAGAATCCGGGCAAAAACAATTTGTCTTTAGCACAATTAGAGCGTAATGGATATTACGTTGTCACTTAATCCATTTGACTCTAGAGAAAATTACAATTACAAGCAGTCGTGCTTAGTTTTATAGCAATAGAAATGATTTTACATTCAATTTCTAATAGCATAGATAAAATCAATCACAACGTTATAGTCACACGCACACGCAAACGCAAACATCTATATGGTGTAGACTAATTTATTCATTTTCATTTCCTCTTTGTAAATTTTAAAAGCAACTGCCTGGCGTCGTTCTGTCACAAAACGAAAAAAAAAAAAAAAAAAAAAAAAAAAAAAAA